GGGTGGAGGGTGGGGGCTGGAGGGCTTAGGATTCAGGGTTTAGAGTCCGAGCTGGTACGGTGGAGGGTTTAGGGTGGAGGGTTTAGGGTGGAGGGTTTAGGGTGGAGGGTTGAGGGCTTAGGATTGATGATTAAGAGTCCAGGGTTCAGGGCGTTCCATTCCTTAAGTTATCTGCAGGGGTCCAAGGGTTGAAGGTTTTGGGGGGGGGGGGGGGGGAGGGGGGCGAAGGGGTGGGTTAAGGAATCATGGTTGAGGGGTAGGAGATCCAGGCTCAGGATGCAGACAGCGGATGTAGGCTGTAGGTTTCAGGATATTACGATAAGGGGTAGTGAGGATTAAGAATTAGGTTCGCAGATATCGACGCTCAGGACGCGGATACTGGATGTAGCGTGTACATTTCTGGCCCACGGCTTCGCACTCGGTTCAGAGTTATGGATTTAGGATTTAGGGGCTAGAGGGTAGGACTTAAGACACCAAGTTAGGGGTCGGAAAAGTCGGACATCGAATTAAGGGTTTTTAAGTGTAAGGGTTAGGACTCAGGATCGCGGGTTCGGACTCAGGGATTAGGGCCTAGTGTTAGCATCCACAGATTAAGATTCAGGGTGTCAGCTGAGGAATGAGGTAATTTGCATTTAGGTTTGTGCAGGGTTGAGTGTTTAGAGTTTAGAAGAGTCTGGAATTCAGGACAGAGGGTTTAGGGTTTAGGGTTTAGGGTTTAGGTCTATGAGTGTAGGGATCAGGCTTCACCCTGCGGGCTTGGAATTCAGAGCTAAGGGTTTAGACTCTTTAGAGTTTGGGTTTGGGGCTTATTATTGAGAGAGAAATAGAGACTCATATAGAATCTGGGAAGTACAAGGAGCTAGAGGAAGGCAGGAAAATATATGGGAAATGCGAAATAAACAGCCGACTGCCGTCTTCCGCCAAACACAACGCACCCTGATCATGAGTGTATATAAAAATAAAACTATCTTTCCTGTACGTTTCAGTCATGATGATGAGGGTGTGTTCTGTTCCGGATAAGACTATTCGCCGAAACTTACGCATACAAATCAAGATTGGCCAAGCAGAAATCACACATTGAGGACAAAGGAAAATTGTTCAAAAAACTGAATGATGATTCTGCTTGAGATACTGTGCGAGTCGTTGACATCGTGGAAACGTCCGCGGTGTGGAGATTAGTGTGTGTGTTATGATCCTTTTTTTCTTTTTCTGTACTCAGAGATTCAAACTCTCGTGGGTATAACCCATGTATCCTTCTTTTTCTTTTTTTTGGTCCTATTTCGTCCATAATGCAAAAGTCAAATGTGAGAAAATGCAAGACTTGCTGAACTCAGACGAAAAGACAGAGAGAGAGAGAGAGAGAGAGAGAGAGAGAGAGAGAGAGAGAGAGAGAGAGAGAGAGAGAGAGAGAGAGAGAGAATGGCGAGGATAGAAGAAGAAGAAGCGGTTGACATTGTGGAGCGGGTCACAATGTGGAGAATAGCATGGAAGAAAGAGACGGAAAACAAAAAAGTGAGTTTACAAAATAACACAATGTGGGGGGGTCTGTTTTCTCTTAATGAAAGTTTAGCATGTGGACATCAATTATGTCATTCTGGCTTTCGAGATCCCACCGGGTCCACTCCACTTCTCTTCTCCCTCTACTAAAATGGAGCAATGACGGACATTTTGGAGATAGTACTTTCTCTTTTAGTGTTCTTCAAGGCTATGAAGTCCTTGAAAGTCCCCTAAGATAGTACTTTCTTTTTTAGTGTTCTTCAAGGCTATGAAGTCCTTGAAAGTCCCCTAAGTTGCCAAGGCTCCTCAAAGTCCCACCAAAGTCCCACCAAGTCCTCAAAAAGTCCCACCAAAGTCCCTCACCAAAGTCCCTCACCAAAGTTCCACCAAAGCCCCACCAAAGTCCCACCAAAGTCCCACCAAAGTCCCACCAAAGTCCCACCAAAGTCCTCAAAAAAGTCCCACCAAAGTCCCCCACGAAAGTCCCACCAAAGTCCTCAAAGTCCCCCTGAAGTCCCCCCGAAGTCCCACCGAAGTCCCACCGAAGTCCCACCGAAGTCCCACTGAAGTCCCACTGAAGTCCCACCGAAGTCCCACCAAAGTCCCACCAAAGTCACACCAAAGTCCCACCAAAGTGTGCAGAGAAATGAAGGCCAGAGACTAATGACAGGAAGCCTGAGAGGAGGGAGAGGAGTAGGTGATCTACACATCATTCAAAAAAAAGAGAGGCAGACGGGCAATTCACACAAAGGAGAGGAAGGGGGATGAAGAGATGGAGATTCACCGGCCGTACAAAGAGAATCACATTGCTAACTCGATTAAAGATAAGATGGTAGAAAGGAGCCTCCCCTTTCATACGTTGCGCCATCTCTGCTCTCCTTGCTCGTGCGGCGTGCGGGCGACACCTGCGTTCTTCAAATATGCTTTCGTAGTAAAAATCTATCCAAAAACTCGTCTGCCAAATCCAATGATAAGTGTTCAAACCCCGACACGCTCGCCAAAGGGCTCAAAGAGATGCAATGTCTGCCAAACTCCACGCTTGGCTTGGTGGCATGTCACACAAACACGCGCACACTTACACCTGCCATCGAATGACCCATGAGGACTTGAAATGCCTCCGTCCATGTGTCGAGCTCTAAGGAAGGAAGCCTTCACACACACGATGCTTTCTGCGTGCCAGATCTGTTTGTCGTCAACCTTTCGTCACATATCGTTGTCGTGTACTTGCTGCACTACGAGTCTACCGCAACTTGGCTCCGTACTATTCCTTTAGATCCGAACCTGCATGCACTGTTTCGAGGACCTCAGCGCATACTTGACCGCAATCTCCACAACTTTCGACTTTATCATCTTCGCACCATTCACGGAACTCCGTGCGGGCTTAGCGCATGTCCTAGTCGATCGAGATCATCATCTATACTTCAAGTTTCTGGCTTCGCCCATCTCTTCCAGTTGCACTGCCGCCGATACTTCCAAAAGTTTCTGGCTTCGCCCATCTCCTAGTTGACTACGATCGCCAAAAACTCCGCTCATCGGAACCTCAAGTGCCCACCGGCTGCTTAGCTCAGCTGAACGATGATGTTCGGGGGCTGGGGATTCGAGCTGTGAGGGTGGAGGAAGCGTTGGACAAACCGATAACGACTGCCACTTGGACCTCGACATTGAACTCGACAGCGGAAAGTCAACAGCTTTGACCGGCTTTTCTCATGACACGGAGCTCTGAATGCCTGGCGTTGAACAAAACGGAAGCTGTTGACGCTGCCTCGGCGGCGGCGGCGGGATCCGTGCCATCCTCTCAGCCACAACCTTCTTGGAAAGTTCTGACGAACTTTCGCATCAAAATCAACATAGAAACCAAACGAAGACCCGATCAGGACAGGACTCCTATGCTATTCTCCATCCATACACTCTCTTCTTTTTTCTTTTTTTTCTTATGTTTACCATCAAGGAAAACGAACAGAGCAAAAAAAAAAAAAACAGAAAACTTTTTTTTTTTTTTTTTTTTTTTTTTTGGAAGAATTGTAAATTGGGACCATTGTACAAGGGGTAGCTCTGCTGAGGGTGTAGGGTGTGGATTAGGTTTGGTCTACCTTCCTCCCCTGAATACAACGTATGGTCATTATAGCTGTATTTAGACTGAAATATACCCCCAAATACAGCTATAATGACCGGCTCTATTTAGACTGAAAGATACCCCAAATACAGCTATAATGACCGGCCGTATTTAGACTGAAAGATACCCCAAATACCGCCATAATGACCGTACCGACCCTATGTCGCATTTGGGTGAAGGAGGTAGATTAGGAGTGAAGATCCGGCTAGGTTCGCTGGAGCGTTGGAGGGATGACATTTGTTTGCTACCTCCTCCTCCTTCCCCCGAACATAACGCACCCTCCTTATTAAAGTACACAAGCTAGTTTTCTAGTCGGGTACGTTCAAGATGGGGGTGCGTTATGTTGGAGGGACGACAATAAGGGCAGGGTAGTGGGGTATAGTAGGTTGACCTCCCTTTGATCGGTTCTATGTTCTCTGTGCTGACAAATATGCTGCACTCTAGTCAGGGGATACGCGCACTAAATCTAAATCTGTCTGACTGCAATTACGGCCACAGAGCTCAGTCAGGGTATAATGGATGCATCTGACTGCAATCACGTCCAGAGCTCAGTCAAAAAGGTCATTGTGCGAGAATGCCCTCATTTTCGGTTTTCCTCAAAGCCAAGGAATGACTGCTCTCTTTTGTGTTCTTCTTTGTTTTTTTCTCAATGCAGAAAGAAAGGAAAGAAAAAGATTCCCTTCTTCCTTGGAATGGCGTGCACTTAACCAAGTGACAAGTGAAAAAGTATTTGGCCAATGATGTGGACCAGGTGCCTTGGATGGTATTGAACGAACCAGGTGCTTCAGGGACCCATGATTGGACGAGGTGGCATGGAGAAGAAGAGCATGATTGGAAATCATGATAAGCATGGCCTCTCTCTCTCTCTCTCTCTCTCTCTCTCTCTCTCTCTCTCTCTCTCTCTCTCTCTCTCTCTCTCTCTCTCTCTCTCTCTCTC